CCCACCATAATAAATTGCCCCTTTTTTTCTAACATACACTTGTAAGACAAACTGTATTAATACACTGATCCATGTTTAATAGTTGATTGGGAACTTTGTAGCTTTCCACAGGTGGGAACGCCACATTTCAGGAAATAACACACTAAGATCACGTGCATGATATAATATAAAAAAAATTGCTTACTAATATTGCCTCACCTATTTTTCTTTCCTTTATCAATTAACCCCAATGCTTCACTAACATCTGTGACTATGTGTTTAGTCAACTTGTCAACATAAACTCCCAGTTCACGGTGTTCTCGCACTGCAAAAGCAATTTAGAGAGACTTAATACATGAATGTAGAAACTCATAAGAATAAGAAAAGCAGGTCTAAAATATATCAAACAAAATCTGACAACTTATGAAAAATAGTTTGTGGTTTGTATAACACTGGGTTTTATTTCCAACAAGAAGCTTATGTGATACCTTTTGGAATTTTCAAGAAACTTTTACCTGCAATGAAACAAATCAACACACCAGCCACAAACTGTTTTTCATTAGCATTTGACTTTTTTGTATTACTTTTTAAACTATTAATATATTTTGAAGTAATTTGTTTTAGGGTACTCCAGGTAAGCACAAGAACAAAAACATTGGAAATAAAATATCAGTGCAGAATGCATGAAATAATTCATTTTTAAATGTCTTGTATGTATTTTTTATGTATCAAAATACATGCAAGACAGTGTCCCCTTCTACTCAGGTAGCACCATTACACATGTTGACAGAGGGTTTGAATCTTTATCAAGCTGCACTTTCTTCTCATGTTTTGAAATTCAACTTCCTTGATAGAATCCATTTGGGAAAGTATTCCTCTTCAGGTATAACAGATTTGCTTAGAATCACTTTTGTTACACCAAGATGTGAATTTGTCAGTTCTGCATACCTCTTAAAGAGTCTTGCCAGTTTCTTCTTCTCCCCAACAAATCCTTCACAAATTCTTTGTGTATTTCAAGAAAACTGAAAAGATAGTTTTAGTGTAAGTTTCAGAAAAACTAGAGGCAAAACTGATAACTTGCTAATTCATAAATGAAGAAACTGACCATTGCATACTGTGTCAAATTCTTGAACCTTCATTTAATTTAACCCTTTAACTCCCAAGATCTGATTGTTAATTCTCCCCTCTAGCTGCTACACATTTCCCTGTAACTTAGTTCTTAGAATTTGGTGTTAGATCAAGACAACAACCTGTACCTGATAAGTTTGAGAATTCTCAAAATCTATTTGCTGGATAAGGTACGGATATCATAAGGAGAAGTTATATGTTAATCACTCCTGGTAGTTAAAGGGTTAAAGTATCATTAACAACTTTAGTTAATAAATGAAAGTTTTTTGTTTAAACGCATACCTTACTTCTGCCCTAAATGAAGTGTCATCTTTATAATCTGAGGCTCTTTTGAAGAGACTTTGGCAAATCCAAGGAGTAAGGCCTTGAACTTTATCAGAGCCGTACATAATGAAACTTTTACCACTTCCACATGCTCCATAGCTGAACACACAAGTGTTATAGCCATTAAAACAGGATGAAAGAAGAAACTCGCCAACATCTTCCAAAATCTAAGATAATACCAAGTATAAACATTAGCTTCTGGTCTAGAATTCCACACATACCACCTCAGGGATTGAACAGGATGGTACAGAGGCAAGAATAGTGCTTCCTGCTGTGTCTAACTCTTTACACCCTAGTGTCACTAAGCATATTCTCCATACTGTTCTCTATACATTTCTCGTGGTATTGACATAGAGAATTTGTTTAACAATCAAGAGTTTTTAGAGTGTGGGGTGGCCATTTTCTGTATTCTTATAAACTTTATGTTAGATTCAGCAGTGATAATGTATAGAGAAATTAGATACTAGTCACTCTTAGGGGGTTTAAGTTCAAGGGATGAATTTCCCAACCTGACATTGCATTTTGATCAGTACTGATGTTGCAGTATGATTCTTGTCTACCTCATTCCAGGAGTTTTTCTCTAGGTTCACTATTTTATCCCCTTAACAGAAAACACTAAAAAAAACTACAATTCAACCAGAAAACAGTGGACAAGGGGTCACCTTAAGGATGGTTCAAGGCTGAAACAAGTTTCTATAATTCATGAGGTGGCCCTTGGTCTATCATTGTCTCTTGTCTGAATTGGAATTTGAGTCTTTTTTTTTCCTGTTGTAGCAAGAAAAATTGTGAACCTAGAGACAAACCATTGAAGTAAAGAGACAAAACATTCCACAATAACCTCACCTGACAAACAATGCCAGGCTAGGAAATTCATTCCTCCACCATAATAATTGGAAGCAAACACTGGCTTTATCAATTTAGTTGGGTGATACAGCTGGCATATCACCTGTCTGTGAGGGCTATTAGATATTAAAGGAATCCACAAATACTTTGTGAAAGATAATAGAAAAATAAACTTAAACCCAAATTAAAACAAAGATAAATCTGCGTTCACATTGTAGAATAATTATTTATCTGTCCGTGGACAAGAAAGCATTCAGGACTTCCAATTAGATGTTTATTTGGACTTCTGATCACCATTTATGACTGAATAAAGAATAGGAAAATATGTCTAATCCAGAAAAATTGGTGTACTGCAATAAATTTTTGTCTATAAGGGCTGTTAGTTGTGCCTCGATTTATACTGACTGTCAGGTCAACAAATGCCGGTATATAACACTTCGCTTACGTATCCATTTCATTGGCTCATGAGTACTCTTGGTAGCCTTGTCAATTGGATTTTCAGCAATGGGTTTCAAAGTTAAATGATAATTTGTCAATGGTCGGCTAACAGCCAGCTAACAATACGCTGATTGTTATCTGATTATGATGAATAGGAGCTTTTTGCGCCGTTGGCAGGCATCTCGACTGGAACATCAGTGGTCAAATGGTAAAACATCAGCTAAGTTTCAGTCTGTGATGAGCCAAACATTATCTCACAAATCGATTGCTTATCATTTACACTATTGCCTAAGGCAAACTATATCGTGCATGATTCATCAGGTCTATGCGAATGAGCTTGATCTGGTGGACAAAATAATTACAAGTAATTTTCATTTCTCCATGGGTAGAAATTTAAGTTCAGATGTTCAAACATTAATTTCCACTGACGTGGGAGTGTTTCAATGTGTACTTGAGGCTATTTTCTTTTGAGTGTTCTTCAGCTTGAAGGAAAGTCGAAAATATCATACTGAATGTGTTAATGTAATTACAATTGCCTATGTGAGAGTTTTCGCAACCTTAACTTCACCTTTTTGACACAGAGGAAGTGGTTAAACATTACAATTAAAAGCTGTCATAAATTGAGTCTCAGCAAATAGAGCGCTCAATATCTACGCAAATATCGATATTCTCAAAAAGTGAGGAGGACCTTTAATTAAGTTCTGAAACAAAAGGTAAACACTATTATTTTTGTTATAATAAATGATGGCTGAACGTGTATTCTGCCGCAGATAACTGAACACGGACACTTTGGCGTGTCAAAAAGTAACAAGGTTACATCACATACAGTACAAGCGTCGTTTTTTTTAGGCGATTTCTTAGGCATAAAAATATTTCGTGGAGTTGATGAAGTGTTCGAAAACTTGCCCACCTCATCAGTAGAATAGGATAAACAAAAAACCTTCCTCATCCGGCCCGAAAACATCTCCCATTTCGAAGAAAAACTGTCTTTTCCGGTCGCACCTTTATTACCATGCAAACTTAAATGAAGAAATATGAAGCGAAAATATATTTACTTCAAAAGATTAAACCACTTTAGTTCGCAGACGAATAATCATTCACGGATCATTGGACGACGATAAGATCAGGTTTGCAACCGTTTGGTTCAATTTGCCTCCAGAGCAACTCACTAAATTGATCGATAAATTTATTTATAGAATCAAACCACAATAAAAACCGGGAAAATACTACGAAACCTCGAACGTTTCTCGATTGCGCGTGATGTTATTGTTATTGTATTGTCTGCATTGAAGGAACTCAGGATTTAATATTAAAAAGCTTAAAGAAATTAGTTTTAATCTTACCTTCTCCTGTGGTTCGGCGAGCTCTGTCGGCAAATTACAAAACTACAGAAGGCAAGATTACCATTTGAATAATTAGTCGATAAAATTACCAATCTGGCTAATGGCTCCAAAAGTAAGTTACCTAATCCAAAACCAAATATTTTATTCAAAATAATAACAGTAGCTTTCACAGCAAGCGATCAATACACAAGGCGAACATTCAATATCCAACTTGCACAAGGAACGCAGGTGACATGGTTGTGACAAAATGCAATTCATTAAATTGGACTATGTGGGACTCACCGTATAATCAAATTTAAATAGTTTCTCATGGCCACTATCTGGATTGAGCACCCGAATTTCGTCGTTTTGCGTCCATACCACACATTCGTCGCCATTTTCCTGTTCGTTCTCGCTTAACGGTCTCACTGCTACAGCGACACGGACATTCGCTTCAGCCGCCATTGTTACGCTCGAATTCTCGCGCCAAAAATAGTTTCAAACTGCGTGAGAACAGTTGTTCGTACCACTACAATGCTCAATGTAAAATCACTTCGCTGCGTACACACAATAACTTCGTGGATTGCACGATCTGTCCTGCTTAAAATGCTTGTCAGATTACTCGGCAAATCCTACTGGTAGGTGGTGTGGGCTCCGCCGGAAAGGAATTCAAACATTGCTAAAATCGACTGTTCGGTGGGTCGCTACCACGCGAACAACTTCCGCCCGGATATGACGTTTTGAATGGGTGTACTGAATACATAACTCTTCCAAAACGCACCCCAGGATTCCGACCTGAAGGTCACGCTCTACTCGCAGCAGGAAACCAACCATTAAAGCATGCGCAAGGAGGCACTTTCAATTATTGATTATCGCATGTTCGCCCTTCCCCGCTTTTTCTCCGTTCAGAGTCGTCTTATCGAACGAAATTTGAACTTTCTGGCAAGATAAATAATAGACTAACAATTAATTAGATGACTTCCGTTAAAAGGAAGGTAACATTTTAATTTCACGCTCTGAACAAAAATGTAAACATAGTTAATTGCTAATTAATATTCACCCTTAATACCTTATTTCGCTAAGTTTTTTTTTTTAACCTTTACTACTCTGAGGGGGTGAAGGGAGAGACTAAAAACAAAAAATGACGGTTTTCAAGACTTGCAAATCGGGGAGTTGTAGCCATAATCATGACGAAGTCCTCACGAGAAATTTAGTATCCATACAACTCGACTCTCAGCGCAATACATGAGGACCAACTTGCAGGCCGAATTTTAATCCAATCGACAAGTAAAGGAGCTGAGAGCTGGTTTGTAACTACTGTTTCCTTGTCAAAGTTTGCCTGGTATTCCTGTGGAAACAACAAGGTGAAAAGACATTTCTTTGTAAAGAAAAAATATGAAGGAATTAAAGTATAACTTAACATATCACATTTGAGCGGGAAAAAAAAACTCGTTTTAGATGCAAATAATAGTTTACTTTTACCTTGGGTAATGATCCTCTGACATTTTGAAAACCATATTTGATAAAGTAACTTTTCACCCAACAGCCATCGTTTGGAGCTCCCTGTGTTGCTATGGCAATTATTTTGACCCCGTGTTTAAACTTAACCGTGATGGTCTCAGTGCTACGATTGCTTACTGGCATCCAACAAGATGGTCTGTTCAGACGACCTTTTCCCGCTTCGTAACCTGATTTTGATGATGTAGCAACGATATTTATGTCTGGGATAATTCCACTCTCCATACCTAATGACTTAAGACCTTATAAAACAAAAAAACAAAAGAACAGTCAAAAGAGAAAACCCTTAACGAGTCGTTATATAAAAACAATTTATGTTGGTGATTCTATAATATAGTTATTTAGGGAATATCACGCAAAACAAATTATTCGTTTTGTCTCTTTTTTTGTTCAACTTGGGTCAACAGATTCTTACTTTCACAGCGGAGACCGCTGAATCCATCAAGACACTGACACTTCAAGGTCGGATTGCTAATACACTTTCCTCCATTTTCACAGCGCATGCTCGTACAAGGATCATGGAAGTGGATCACCACAGACACATGAACAACTCCACTCTGTTCCACTATGTCTTCAGGAAAACCCTCCCTAGTTGCGTTATTCAGTTCACAAGTTTTATGCAATAAAAAGTAGTTGACACTATGACATTGCCACTCCAGTTCGCAAGAAAAAGTGCAGCTCTCAAAAGTTTTACGTTGTACTGTGTATATCACGTGACCTGTCAGGATACGACCTGGTTCTGAAAAACGGGTGGGACAGTTGTTATAGCCAGCGGAGTTTTCATACAAGATAATTATGTGAAGTAAGATAAATTCCAAATGTTTAGACATCGGTATCTCTTGATTAATGTTTCAGATCGAGGGTACATAAAATTCATCACATGACCTGAAACAAAAGTAATATTGGTTAGATTGATTTAGTGCATGAACCAAGACAACTGCACGCTTGTTACGATCTTGAGAAACATCGCTGCAAAGCTAATTCAGTGTGTTCTGTCGTTGGAAACTAAGGGAACGTTTCGAAAATAACGCGCACGCGAGAAAGCTCTATGAATGTTAGGGTTTTTTGTTTTTTTTAATTCGGCCAAGTATCTCAAATGATTAAACTTACCTGACGCTTTTCCATAGCTGTAACGAGGTTTGTAAATGTCTGTTCAAGAATCTGAATTCAACTGCCTGAATCACGAATCGATCGAAGAACTGCAGATATCGATAAAATGAAGTTATTGCAGAAATTGAGAGATACAGTTTAGTTCCCTGGCTGATTAGTTCTCATTTGCACAGAATTAAATATTGATTTCAGAAGGAATCATTGATGAGGTGTTGATGGCAAACCTTCTTCTTAGATGAAATATAACCGGTACTAAAATTAATTTACCAATAGTCATCTTTGAGAAATCACTTTTCTCTGATTCAAGCCTATCACGCTCCTTAATTTTTCATATAAATCTACAGTAACAACTACCATCTATCACATTTTTAGTTGTAAAATCTGAATCGTTATTAATCAGTGATGAAATTTCAACACTTTGTTAATGTCAGTATAAACAAAAGGCAAATTATTTCCGACATGTACAATTGAAATCTTAATCTTGTCCGATAAATCTTTAAGAAATTTTTTGCTCAATTTGAGTCCTTAGTTTTGTGTGATCGAGGCGTCAATGAGTTTTCCCCTCAGCAATGGGGTGAAAAGCTTCTAACTTTCTAACATGTCCAAGGAGCGAAATTTCAATCTTGAATCTTTCAGTAAAGCACCAGAAAAAAAGATAAAGAGGATGAAATAAAAGGTGCATGGTTGACAAATGCTTCCCCTGACGGCTATAAAAGAGATGAGATTTACCGTAAGCTGCTAATTCCTCTCTGCATCGGGAGAAAAAAGATCTGGCTTAAAATTTTAATTTCGTATTTTAACCACTCATAATGTACGTGTCTTGTGTCAAAAAATTACCGGATAATCGTCATTCTACTGTTTCCCTTCCGACGAAATGAATTAGTACATGCTTTTATTTGTCACTATGCACCGCTTTATTAACAGGTCAGCTCAGACAATCTGTCAAAATCGCTGACAAAACTCAAACATCTGAGGGTTTTTTTCCAATTAGTTGGAGATTTTAAGCTTTTACAGTCGTACATAAAATGGCAAACGTTAATCAGTATACAAATAGTCTATCACGTTAGTTTGCATTTTTTCCTTACATTAGCAAAGGGATTCAGGCAATCTTGGAGCGAGGAAAGGAATTACATATTGAACGCTGCCTGTAAAGACTTGTAAACAAGGTTTGGTCACCCAGCATGCACCTGCCGCATCTCCATTTGCTGTCTCCAATCCATCAAACGCGGGCGGTGAAAGTGGGCTGTACAGAAGCGTGAAATGCGATCGTGATGCTTATGGCCGCGCCGCGCGCGTCATGAGACGAGTGACAACAAGGCAGGTTTGTTTTTAGCACCTATATGCGATTAGCGTAGTTTTCTACGTAGAGTAGAGTATCATACATAATTTGCAATTTTATTGATCCTGAGGAGTAGACCAGACCAGACCCAGCTGTGTTGTGCGTCAATATCATAGGCGTGATCTATTTAACAAACAGGTTTCATGTTGCCATGGGATCGCGGATAGCGTCAAAATCTGATAGCTACAAAAAAGTAACACACGTGGCTCAGTCGCGTCTTCTATGATCTATTACTGTACAGACCTACGGTAACATGGAATCTATTTGTTTTATAGGTTGTTAACGGTGTTGTCATGTATGTGTTTGTCCTCCTATCAGGATCATTCGATCCAATCAAACTGCGAGTAAGATCGAGCTTGAATGATTTGCGACAGAAGTAACTGTGATAGCCTTGTTTTTTCTTCTTTTATTTTGGCTTTAATCCAGCTTTCCATATCGGTATCATTTCGCATTTTGCACATTTTCCAATTAAAAAATTGGTTTTATGATATCAGTCGTTTACAGATTGAATACTCTCTACTAGCAAGTTTTCGCTCACCAAGTAGCATCGAAGAAAATAAATTGTAACCTAGACAGAGATATGAGCATTTCCTTTTCTTAAAGCGCGATGTAATCATTGTCTTGATTTTTCAACTCAAATATATTTTGATCTATGCCATCAAAGATTGAGAGGAAAGGAAGGTATTTATTTCTTACCCTTTAGCTCCCAGGAGTGATTTAAAACTAAAATCTCTCTAAAATATCCATACATTATCCAGCAAACAGGTAATAAGAATACTAAAACTTATCAGTTAGAAGTTGTTACCTTGAGCAAGCATCAAATTCTTGTGACTTACTAGCAAGGAAATGTGTAGCAGGTAGAGGGGAGAATTAACAATCAAATCTCGGGAGTTAAAGGGTTAATTAGCCTGATGAACTAGGGTATGATGCCACAGCGATTAAAAATGCATTATTGCCTGGGAATTTAGTAGTCTGTTACTAAGGTAAACGATAGAGAAAACCATATGATTTCGGTAGGAATACGCTATTTATGATATATGACATTAACTGCCTGCAGTATTCGACGAAAAAAGTATTCTTGAAAGTAAAAATAACTCCCTAAATGGTGTGACAGATCATAGACTGAAATTCGAGCTTGTCCTAGAAGACGCAAGACCGATAGATCATTGACGGAAGAAGATTTTAACGCAAGCTTAAACGGATGCGGTGAGACGTCATCATACCGCCGATGAATTAGTTTCTTACCTATTTGTAGCCTTGGTTAACTTTATTGAAAAACATAAACAGTAATTTTTGGTGTGTGGGACGAAGATCACCGAGCCAACAGGAACATTGTTCAGTCGAGCGGCCGATTGATCAGGACGACAATATTTGCCACAGCGATTAAAAATGCATTATTGCCTGGGAATCAGTAGTCTGTTACTAAGGTAAACGATAGAGAAAATGATATCGGTAGGAATACGCTATTTATGATATATGACATTAACTGCCTGCAGTATTCGACGAAAAAGGTATTCTTGAAAGTAAAAATAACTCCCTAAATGGTGTGACAGATCATAGACTGAAATTCGAGCTTGTCCTAGAAGACGCAAGACCGATAGATCATTGACGGAAGAAGATTTTAACGCAAGCTTAAACGGATGCGGTGAGACGTCATCATACCGCCGATGAATTAGTTTCTTACCTATTTGTAGCCTTGGTTAACTTTATTGAAAAACATAAACAGTAATTTTTGGTGTGTGGGACGAAGATCACCGAGCCAACAGGAACATTGTTCAGTCGAGCGGCCGATTGATCAGGACGACAATATCTGCGGAACATCTTGGTTCATTGATTTCTCCTCTAGAAGTCGTGAAGCCAAGGAACAGCGTTGTCGGAACTAAAGCTATGTCTACGACTATTAATAAGGCAATGAAGGGAAAAGAACTGTTCAATTTGCTTCATCCAAGATTTCCGAGCATAGTCATTCAAGGTAAGATCTTTCTCTTGCGCAACCAAACGACTAGGTTTTTTTTAGATGCATCAAGCCTTGGCAGGTATTGACCAAGAGGGCTTGATAAGATACGTAAGATTATTTTTGCCTTGCTCTAAAAATGGAAAATCACAACGGAAATGTGTAACGGATGAGTTTTCAGACTTGGCATTGGAAAAATAAAACGAGTTGTTTTTCTTTTTAAAACTTTTTACCTCACCTGATCATTCTTCATCAACGCTCATCGACAGCCGAGAGTATATCTTACCAAAAATAACTAAAAACAAAGTAGATTGTACAACAACAATGACCTCGAAGGTTAAGCAAATATGCCTTACTTGACTCGGTGTTCGGTCGTTTTAGAATTTTTGAAAAGGTGAGAAGCCCTTTAGCTAGTGGTTGGAGTAGAGATCACGAGGACATGGGTAATTTTATAATCGTGAGAGTAACTAAAAGGGCTTCTTGTCTTGAGATCAGTAATTTTTTTTTTTATTTTCCTCTCCTAAACATAACTGTTTAAGACGTTGTGTCATACTTGTTTAAGTTTGAGAGAATTCTTGAAACTATATCGATTGAAACTATATCTAAGTCGATTAACAACGTTAAACATGCAAGTTCGCGTTCCTTGAGTTGTTAGAGAGACATGTAATTTTTTAAAATATTCAAATATGCGCACGTTCCCTTAATCCGTTTGACACTTTCCAATGACAACTTAAAGACATTTTGACAGGTAAATTCCAGCTGGTGAATTAAAAATGAAAATAAACTCACACACTTGAACTAAACCGCCCGAGAGCAGAAAAGAACTTCTCAGGTTTAACGAAAACAAGACCCTGGCAATGTAAATTGGTTATGTTGACTGAAATTAGGTTTATTCAGCGGAACTATGCCAAAAATGAAATTCGAACTTACACTTCTTTGGAGTCACGGTAGTATAAAAGGTGCTGCAAACAGCTCGTAAAGTAAAACCGTTGTCTTTTAAGGAAATTGCAGTTATCTCTTCTGGAGATTTTATCAACAAAGTTTAATGTACTTTTCACACGTTGATCAACTAAAAGAGAGTTTTCCTCTTCTATCACGGTTCGTGCAACCGACGGTATTCCTTGTGAAATGTCACGCTTGTGTTTCGCGTGAAGATCATCTTCAAGAGTGAAGATTCGTGAGTCACGTGAGTCTTCGTGAGTCACGCCCTGTTCTTGTCCATGATTCTCCAGCTTTCGCCTGACTGTAGTGTACACTACCCGCAGTAACGATCATCTGATGTACAGCTGCTTCATGGCCAATCTGTGTAGTGTAGCAGTATTTTTTTAGCCACGTACACCGCGTGTAACGACCGGAAAAGGAAACTCACTCTTGTATGACTGTAGTATTTGCCAGTAAAATTAAACAACTCCATTGAGAAACAATGATTTTGGCATGCATAGCACCTTAAAGAGAAAGAATTTTGCTTCTCTTGCTATACCTTACAGACTGTTTAAGTATAGACTCTAAGACAAAAACTTTTTGATTACATAATGATCTTTGTTTTTGTTTTTCCTCTGTTAAGCCATCGTGGTCGTCTTAAGCAGCAGTGTACAAGTAAATCGAGCAACCACAATTACAGTTTCACCCAGCTCAATGGTGTCTTCCTCATCAGTACTCCAAAGAGATTTTATCACGATGCCTTCTTGGTCTGTTGTAAGAACTAGCACGTCTTCCTTTCAATCGATTTCCGTTGTTTATTCATCCCCAAGAACTTTTCCTTCATCTCTCGCATCAAGCATGACGAACAGTGTCGTACAATCGAAATTTACAAAGACTGTTACTACCTCCGTGAGTTGCGTGACACTAACGTCTTCAATACCTGTCACACAGTATAAACATACAGCAGTGCATGTCACACCAACAAAAGTGGTAATTACCCGTATACGAGGAATTCCAAGTATGACGATTATCACGGTGATAGCAAGTGTCTTGGGAGTAATCCTTCTATTGCTCTTAGCTATCATAGTAAGTATAACTCCGTTTTTTTTAAATACTGCACCGCCTTCATCACAGGTGTATTACTTTGAATAATTCTCCGCAAGAACCGAGATAGCCAGCACCGAAAAATTAATGAAGTTCCCAAAGCTCATTATCATCACAAAGATAAATTTAAGAACGAGTCTAATAGAATCTGTAATCCAGTCTTGGAGCGGAGCCTGCTTAAAAATTCTGATAAAGCCACAATGTAACCAAGGCAACGACAAGTTTCGAAATTCTCATCAGCTCCCCCTTACCTACCTTCATAATTGCCCCCCCCCCTCCCCCACTACCCAAGCTTTTTCACCCACATCTATTCTATCATTTTCTTAACCCTTTAACTCCCAGAAGTGATTAACACAAAACTTCTCCCTACAATATCCGTACATTCTTCAGCAAACAAGTTATGAGAATATTCAAACTTATCAGGTAGAAGCTGCTATCTTGATCTAGCACCAAGTTCTCATGACTAATTTACAAGGAAATATGTAGCAGCTACAGGGGAGAATTAACAATCAGATCTTGGGAGTTAAAGGGTTAAAAGAGCAAGAAAAACAGTTACATACTCAGTTCTTGTTAACTGTTAAATTTAACGAGCGTCTCGCCCTCGATGTCGAAAACAGATGCGCTTAATTGACACTGGCGAAATTATTTCATCAACGTCACCATCTCCGACCCAACATTTACAAGCATTACTCAAAATCTTTACCGAAGTCTTTTATTTTCAGATTTGGGATCTGTGTATCGTGCACGTATTGCCATGGAGGCCGACATCACGTGTGGAGCCTCGCGGTGATGTGTCACATGTTCGTAGTGATATGGTCTGAGCATGACAGCCATGTACTTACCACTAGTCAAGGGGCATGTATGACGCGATGCAACTTCAGACAATTTTTTTGGTCGCTGTGGTATCGATGTCATGAAGGCACCTCTGATCTATTTTGAGACTTGAGAGAATTAAGCATCAACTAAGTGAATAAAATAATAGAAGATCCATGATCGAGTAGGCAAGGGCGATAGTTTGTATGAGAGAAAACTTATACACAACAGCCGCCGGTGACAATCGAGTCAGCGGTATTCATCATTAGCTTCAAGTGGGGAGTCATTTGTCGGTCGAGTATAAAATTGACCAATCATTGTTCACTTAAGATAGACCCACTTCGTTCTGATGTCAAGATGACTAAATCCCATTCGCGTTGCCCAAACATCAGTCACTCTTATCGACAACATTCCTCTTCAGACTGATTTGAACGCCACTATCACTGTTACTACTGAGTTGACACTATTGTGTAAAAGAACAGTTTCTCTCGGAAAAATGCAATAAATGTTGGGGAATACGAAAAAGGACTGAAATTTGTCACCAGAAACCTTCAGTAGAATCCACATTACGTTGTGTTAAAAATTTGTAAATTATGGGAAAATGCAGTAACTGTGAATAAATGCTGTAATATAACTGTAAATACTACTGTTTGTGAATAAATTGAAATCACTTTCAATTGTAAATTTCTCAGTTTTCTTTTTTTTTTTTGCAGCCATATACGGTTTGTACCCATACACTTTCTTGTGAAGTGCAAATTGAAAGAGCTCTTAAAGAGCCAGGGCCGCCCGTGTCAAAACTCATTGTATTGAAAATCATAAGTACACTCTTTTTATCATGAGAACGTCTAATTTTGGGGCTGAGGCTGAGGCTGAACATTCTTATTTTTTACTGCGAAACGAGCCTGAAAACTTTCTTATTAATCTGTTCTTATCACCCTAAGTATTTGAGCTAATTGTCCTGTTAGACTACAGTTTTATATTTATCGTATATTTATTTTATACTTCTTACAAAAGGAAGGAGGCAAAATAGTCGTTCTTAACTGACTCTCAGTCTGGGAATGTTCTTGGCATGTTCTAAAAATTTTGGTTAATTTCAGCCTGGACGTTCTTACAAATTTTCACACCATGACATATTTCAGCACCCATTTTCCATTCTGTGCGTTCGGCAGTAGATCGGCATTTAATTGTTCATTTTCCAAAAATTAACATTCAAAGGACTTAGGAGTCACGATATCAATTTATTATCAGGTCGCAATGGGGAGCAATGATGCCCGTCTTAGTAATTCCGTCGAGAGAGCCAAAAAAAAAAAAACTGATTCGTGTGTTTTTGAGTTTTCGTCCGGCAACATTCTCTGAAGCTGGGGAGCTTGTAATGTACCCTTCAACACCTGCCGTCTACAATTGGCTGAAGGCAATAGTTAATAAAGTGACCTCTGTTAGAGATAACCACAAAATTGCATTGTCATAAATGAGTAACCGCTGTTTACCTCGCGATCCCGCAGGCTAATGTTGACATTGGGAACGGTAGGGCCGAAGCAGACAGCAGACTTTTCTCTAAGATTGTGAAACTTCAATGAAGATCTCAATGGATCTGACTTTCGCATTTGTTTCACTGGCTTCGATGTTTTCGCTGATATTTAGTGAAAAGTGCGAACCGATCAGTATTAAATCATGCTCTAACGCAGGCTACTCTCTAACTGCAAGATTTCCTGATATAGACGGCACACCATACCAAGACTTTCTAGCGCCACGCTTGGATTTATACAACCTTTTGCTACAGACTTGTTCAGCTTACGCTAGTACGATCCTGTGCTCGCTGTATTTGCCGAAATGCGAAGAAAAACGGACAGATCCTCAGCCTCCGTGCTACAAAGTTTGCAAAAAGTTTGCGACAGAATGCCAAGACCTTCTTAAAAAGGCAGGCCTCGCTGGAGTTTTCACTGTACTGTGCGATAAGCTACCCGATGGAAATTCAACTTCAAACGAATGTTTTTATCCGCCAAACTTTAAACAATCGTCATCTGGAGGTTAGTGTGAGTAGCGTGATTATGTGTTCGAATATTGTTTACCTCGAGCGAACTTGTCATTAACTTGATACATTATGTAACTATTTTGAATATGCTAATTGAGAAAGAGTTTGAAATTTGAATTTCTTGTTCAGCTAAACAAAAGTAATGTGGCTGTTGACTTGTTAGCTTAATTTTTTAACTTGCGGTAAGTTTATCATCAAGTAATCTTCAAAACTGGAAACTCTTTAGTAACAACTAATAATGATATTACTTGAAAAAGTGCAAAATTCTGCATGATCTAATATGGAAAATTTATGACAAAAAAACCAGCTCAAAAGTAACATGAAACAATCTTCAAACTGCTGTTGAATAGAATTGATAATTTCTCTTGTAACAGAAGTGATAAACAATTAACATAGTAGGTCAGGTTATTGATTATTTCCTCAAGAAAATCTCTACTTTACCCCTATCAGTAATTCTCGTTGGAAACTCCAAGGGGAGAGGTTTAAATTGTAATTTCCTTCTACTTAAATTGCTACACTTTTGCAGGATCAAAACCTATTCCTAAGTGCTATGATGTTGTTGACCCAGTTTGCAAGAAACATTTACACTATAACAAAACAGTGATGCCAACAAGCTTACAAACAGGAGAAGAAACTTTGTTCCAGTCGATAATCAACAGTAACTGTTCTGATGAGTTGGAAAAGTTTATTTGCTATGCACAGTTTTCTCCTTGCGACCCCAAGCAGCCAAGAACAATTCAGATACCTTGCAAATCACTCTGTGTTAAAATTCACAAAAACTGTTGGAAGGAGTTCAACAAGGCTGGGCTACCCCTTCCACCTTGCGATTATGTTTACCCTGAAGATGATAATAATCCAACAGGTATTTGTGAGGTTAAGAAGTGGCCAGCCTCATGGCCTGCACAATTTAGGCCACCAGCTCCTGGTGAGTGTTAAATAACTTGGATCAATGTCACTGTATCTGAGCAACTGCATATCAACCCCTCCCTTAATTCAACATTAACCCTAATGTGTTATCAGTTGACTGTTATTGGGTTAGGGGAGGAGTAGGTACACAGTGGCTCAGATACTCTCATTGATCCGATAACTTCATGTCATTGTCAGTTTTAAAATATTTACATACCTTGAATTTCAAAATTTTGGTAAGAAGTTATTGAGACCAAGATGCAGAAACTGCACTAATACAGTTGAGTATATTCTAGCTGGTCTGTTAAGTACTAACAAGAGGATTTTTGAAACCTTGCATAATTTTTTAAATGATTTTCTCATTGCTGTACCTTAGCCCCACCAAAGAGTGTATCATTAATGTAATGGCTATTATCAGCATGGTATAAATCACATAGGCATTATTATTTTACCTGGGCTTACTACCATAAGATAACAGTTATCCTAATAAACTTTGAACACCATGAAATACAATTTTTTTAAACCTTTATAAGTGTAAATGCATATAAGTCTATTTGAGTCCTAAATCAGTTGGTCTCTTATTGTGACACTGATACTATTTTTTCTAATGGATAGAAATTGGAACTTGCGAGGAGCTCACTGTGAAGTCATGTGCCAAAGCCAACTACAAATATACTGCTAAGTATCTTAAAGTTGGTAATGAGACCTTGCAACAGAAGAAAGGAAAACTGCTTGATCAACTTATTCCATACATTGAAAGTTGTTCGCCTTACAGCAGTTTAATTCTTTGCTCATTATATCTGCCCAAATGTGTCCCTGGTAGTGCCAGACCAATGTTACCATGCAGACAAGTTTGTTTGGATTTTGCGGACAAGTGCAAGACAGAATTGACTTTGGTGTCAACTGTGGGAATGACAATAGCACTGTGCGATCTTCTTCCTTTTTATGATGGGACACCAAACAAGTGCATTATGCCAGAGAGTTTTAAGATGAAAGATTCCTTGCAATTATGTATGTTTAATCTCATTTGCCCAGACAAAGGGCTAATGCTCGAAACTTCAGCTTTGAAAACCTTTTAGAGTGGCCAATTTACATTATCAACTCAGTTGATAATACTTAAAATGACCCTGTTATACCCTCCCACCAATGCAGTACCACAGTTTCTTTAGAAACCTGCTCCCTTTATTCATTAGTATTTGATCATTAACATGTTTTGAGATGAGTGTTGTTTTTTTTTTTTTTTGTAGTCTCCACCAGAAATGTTTGCTACAAAGTAACATCTTCCAAGTGTTCCAAAGACCTTCATTATGACAAAACCTTTTTGCCAACGGATGATCAGAGAGCTGCAGAACTCACCATTCTCCAACCAGTTATTGATTCAGGATGCTCACCAGACATTGAAAAATACTTGTGCTTGATGCGCATGCCAAAGTGCACGGCAGATACTTCCGTGGTTCACTTGCCATGCAGGGAATTCTGCAAGAGGATAAATGATGACTGTGATGCAGTGTTTAAGGCTAACAGTATTGTCCCCCTTCCTTGTGATAACTTTTTTCCTGAAGGGGGTAGTTCAACTGGGCAGTGTGACTTGAAAAGTTGGCCTGCTCCTTGGCCTTGGAAAATTCCAGATCCATCTCCTCCTGTTTCAGGTAATGACTTACTCAATACTTCATGGTTGTAAGTGTCAAAAGCCAAATTGCTCATCAGTGCTAGTTTTTATAAAGGTTTCTCTGGTATAAGATAATGTTGAGTTTGTCCTCTTCCCCTGGATGGGATGCTGGACCATTGCAATTTCCCCCCTGGCCTTTTTGTCAGGTATTCCTCCCTTGAGAGTTTGTTTACACCCATTTACACTCATTAGTGGAGAGGGGCTTTGCAAGAGTGAAGTGTCTTTCTCCAAGAATGGAACACACGACCCAGTAAGTGCTTGATCCAGACCTTTTGATCCAGATGCCAGCATGTTAACTGTCTGGCTAATGAGTTCTCAATGTGCATGCACCTTCATTGTTGTTATCTTATCATTATGGTTATCATTATCATCATTGTTATTGTTGTCTCTGTCATCATCATTACCATAATTATTATTATTATTGTCATTCAATTTGTTATTATTATTATTTTAATATTATCATTTTACTCTTAATAATTATACCAGAATCCAAAACTGTATAGCCCATTCTTCCCATCCTACAATTTTTATACTGGTAAATGTATTTCATGTTGCAAGAAACAAAAAAAGAGTGTTGGTCTTAGTTAGTTTTTTTTATATAACTTTCTTATCTATATCTTATAACTCTATGTTATCTCTTTCCTCTATGTAATTACTGTCTTATCTCTAGGACATAATTTTCTTATCTCCATGCTGTGATTACCTTATCTCTATGTTATAACTGTCTGATCTCTATCAAGTTATAACTGTCTGATCTCTATTATACAATTTTCTTTTCTCTCTTTTGTTACTGTCTTACCTCTATAGATAGTCCCACCAAATGTGTTCCTCTGAAAGTGGAGTCTTGTGCAAATGCCGGTTATTACTACACTGCAGACTTTCCACCGATTGATGACAAACCATATCAGATGGTCAAAGAAAAAAGTTTGAAGTTTTTCTTGGATTTTTTGAATGTTTGCTCCAAATACAGCAGCACGATCATGTGCTCTTTGTTCATGCCGAATTGTATGGAGGGACATCCAAAGCCAGTTATGCCTTGTCGCAGTGTTTGTCTGGAGTTTGTAAACAAATGTCACAGGTTACTGTCGCTGGCGTCACATGCAGGATTGTTCAGATCTCTTTGTGATCTGTTGCCTGAGCAGGATGCATTATTGACCACATGTTTCGTGCCTAAGGGATTCACAGCGAGCACTACTTCTGGTAACCTGTTAGCTCAGTACTTGACCAAGAGCACTGATTAGGATCCTGAGTGTTTTGTTTGTTTGTTTGTTTGTTTGTTTGTTTGTTTTTTCAGTCACATCCTTAATTATGAGTCCCAAGTATATAAATGTGAATTTGTCTTGAGTCAGCTAAGATTGTCACGTTAAGCCTGCTGAAAGGCGCGCTATGCAGACAGCGAAAGAGATGTCACGTGCGCGAGAGAAGACTCTTCCCCTTTACAAACAATGGCAGCTCCTTAGCCAAATCGAAAGAGATTATGCTTAGTATTGATCTCCAAGATAATTTTTATTGCTTTATTTTGGTTTTGTTTAGTGGACAGGCGAAATGGTCAATGTAGCAAAATTAGAGAACCAAAATTCTGCCCTGATGATTTACATTACAATCTGACGTTTGTGGTGGAAAACGAGCAAACGAGTGACTCAATCCTACAGACTATCCTGGATTCCAAGTGTTCCCCAGACCTAGAGAAGTACCTTTGCTACACAACCGTCCCACCATGTAAGACAAATGATTTGTCCGTGTATGTGCCTTGCAGATCTGTCTGTGAGCAGGTTTGTTGATAGGAATTTTAAATTTTTGAGTATCTTTGTGGTACAAAGCTTTGTCGGCCCTAGAGCTAAGAGTCGAGTGGAATAGGTAAATGGAAAGAGGGTAGTAAGCGTCAGCAGTCAATCGTCTCGGTGCAAGTGTCTCGAGACAAGGAGATAAGTACTTATTAACAGAGTTCGAGGTCCGTACTGTATGTTACGCCCCAAGTATTTTCCCGCTTGCTTTGCGCTTGGGTTACAAATCCGAGCGGAAAAACCGTGACTTTCAGTACGGACCGAGAAAACGAGGTTAGCAAGATGTTTATTGCATCTCTAGGTTCGGACAGTTCGCGAAGATTTCAATTCAAACAAACTACAGAATTTAGCTAGCCGCACAGAGAAATACGACCCGCTAAATTGACCAATCAGAGCGCGACTAACTGGTAGATACAATTATAAGAGATGTCTCGAATAGGAAAGTGATATGTGTTACATATGATATGTGTTATATATATTTTTCATATATTCATAGTCGTTTAAGAGATATCTTGCAAAAAAGAATTTGAGCAACAAAGCAAAATACATTGATTTTGATTCTCATATGAATAGAGGGGGTAAATTTCCAAAGAAACTGTGATGCTGCGTCGGTGGGAGAGTATAACAGGATAATTAAGTGTTATAATTGGAGTTGAGAGCGAAAGAAATCGCTCTGACGAAGGGCTAACGCTTGAAACATCAGCCTTGAAAATTCTTAACAGTGGCCAATTTACGCCGTTTTCAGCTCAGTTGATAACTCTAAATAATCCTGTTTGATTCTCATACTTTTCTTCACGTAATTAGGTGAGAAGAGATTGTGGAGGGGAATTCGAGAAGAACCGTCTTCCGTTACCAGAGTGCACCTGGATTTACCCCGATAAAGAGGGTACTAACGGATTATGCCAACTGAGTGAATTTCCAGTTCCCTGGCCTGCCAAGAGAACAGATGGTAAGAGTGTGTTGATGAGTGGAAAACAACTGTAAGTTTGGGGACCTGTGACCTTTAACAATATTCATCACCAGTCTCCTTTCCAAAGTGGAAACCAGGTCTCTACCCTCTCCAATCGGAGAGACATGAGGAACATGATAGACTTGTGAATCTTCTTTAGTATCCATGGCAACGCAAGCGCTAAAAAAAAAATAAATAAAATTTTTATTTTATCACAATACCTGCACTTGCGTCCGAGCAGTTTTTTTTTTTTTGGCCAGGAAATAAAGGTTTTTAGCAACGTTAGCTAAAGCCAGGCCTGTCTCGTCAGTATTACAACCTCTCATTGTTTTCGTCACACTGTCTATTAATAGTAAAACTAATTGTAACGCTCTTCCTTTCTTTCTTCAGTGACAACTGCAGTACAGGCGAAGAAATCTGCCAACAAAGGTGGTTTGATCGCTGGGATCGTCCTTATGTTGGGCTTCCTCACTGTTGTTGTTGTCATCGCTGTGATGTATTACCGCTGGCGCCGCGGTGCCGAGCAATTCTCGGCACAGCGATTTGATAACGTGACGAATGAGCTAGAGCCGAGCGCATGAAAGGGCATGATAGTGCTCTTTGGGATCTGAGATGAATGGTTTGGACCAAGACGTCATCACAGATTCATTGCAATGTATTTTATGTCCTCTTCAATTTATTAGAGAGAGAAAAAAATACATGCTCATTTAGAAGACATTGTTATTACGGATATATGTGGTAATCCGATTTTCTAAATATTAGGCCTTTCTAGGAGCATCGGCTACTTCTTGGGAATACTTGTTGCGAAGTCAACCCATCTTCAGTTCAAACTAATCAAGCAGACCGAGATTATTTCATTGTACACTTAATATCTAACAACATCAAGAATTGGAAAGCTTCTGGACTTGACGCATGACACTTACAATTACGGAGCATCAACTCTTCCGTTTGTATTTTTGGACCATACATGCCGTGATAAATCAACTAGTTATCACTAGCATCATCATACCTAACTTCAGTAAAGCGTAGTTTTTACTAGAATCTACCTTGACACGAAGAACAATTATCTGCAATGCCAATCAACCTTGAAAACAGTTCTCCCCCTTTGGAGATTAGTAGATGTGTCTGCTTAAAACTTATGCACAAATAACCTTCATTTTCTTCACATCTGATCATACTTTGGATGTAGAAGTGAAGATATTCACAGCGTTTGACATTTAAGACATTTTACTAATTTAAGATAGTAAAGAGCTTAAAGCTTTTATTTGTAAGGATAGTTCATTAGTAAGGGTATGACGTGTATCGTAGATACAGTCTTAAACAATAACAGTTAACGTTTTTTACGTCACTCATTGAGGTTTCGTAAAATATCATTCATAGGGTACGTCATGCCCAAACACAGCTGCTCGATATTAACCCTAGATAAAGTAACTCTAAATATGGACCAGTAAAATGATGCCTAGTAATTGCTTAGGGTTAGGGTTAGGTTATTAGATTTCTTAACATGCAGATTATCAGACGTAAGTGATTGTCAGTCCATCGTTAGCTTCTGATTAAGTCGTCTTGACACCGCGAACCGAAATCGACGCTTAATTTCACTTTAATTAACACTGTCAGGCAAAATAAGAGGTTTCAGAACGTGCGTTTGCTAAAAAACGACTAAGCGTTGTTTAATTTTGCAAATTATCTAATCCTTCTAATTCCTCAGACGTTTCAGGTAACATTTGCATAACTCGTCACGCACTCGTCATGAACAATCAACTAGCTCGGCCATTAAAATGTTGCGAGACGAGTCAAATAATTGCTACAAGTCGCACAGGAAAGGCCGTCATCAAGTTCACAGCCAAGTGTCGTTGACCTAACTGTACCAACTTTGTTCATTATGCACGCATGCAACGTAGACACTTACCTATTGATCATAATCATAATAAACTTGAAATTTAACTATTTTGGATGAGTCTTCCATTGGAGGTCTAAAGAACCGACTACGAAAAGATTAAGATATGGGCATCTTCACCTCTTTAATTTACACGCATTTCCATGCGTAGATTTTTTTTCATCGTAATCTCTGTCATGGTCAGAGGATGGTCATTGTATCAAAATAGAAAAATTTTCAAAAGCAAAATAACTTTAAATCTAATTTTCAAAACAATGGCATACTGCAACTTGCAGTGCCCATGGAAGCGTGAAATAGAAAGCTAAGCAGTATCCTAACGCTAAGCAGGCTAGTGTGAATGGAGGATACATATAAACCGGGCACACGAGAATAGTGTGAATGCCTCTCTACCGTGCGCTAAGCAGCGGGAGAAGCGTGCAATTGAAATGGGCGAGTCGGTTTAGCGAAACCTAACCCCTAAGCGACTTACGGATGCCACCAGATCAGCCCAAGAAGGCGATACCATGGTGGCAGCAGTAAGTTGCCCTAACGCTTCCATGAGTCAGGAATTGTTGTAAATTAATTTATATAGAACTGGTGCTTACACCTCATCATTATGGGATATGACCTTAGCAGAAGTCTTTCCCAAGCACTGATACGCAGATTTAAATAAGAAAGTTACCTATATTAAGTTGCACATGAATATATCTAATGAGGTTTTCTATTTTACTTGACCAATACTGGACAAAGCTCATCAACTCGAACAGTTAGACGCATGCGTGAATGAAAGAATGAGCGCCTTATTGATCAAGAGATGAGCTTCTGCACAACAACGAATTTTTTCTCGATTAATATCTGTCCCTTATCAAATGATAAAGGCCTGCGGACGCTTTGTCTCTGTCTACACATAGATTGCATCTTTTAATCTAGACCATTTTGGTAGCTAGGTCACAGTTATCAGTACCACGTATGTCAAGTGTCTCGTTTTCTCTGTGATATTCCAGTGATCTAATTGTAATAAACGTTGAAAATATTCACCTCTACGGTTTTTTTATTTTAGCTGTTAAAACATCTCGAAATTGGAGTGCAACTTAACATTGATAACTGTTGGTACCCTAATTCTAAGGTGTCTGAAAGACAATTCGAAAGCAATCAAGGTTTCTTTATCTCTGACCTATTGTTCAAAACATCAAAGTGGTATTCAAAAGCAACCACCCGTTTCAGCCCCAAATTAGCCGAATTTGCATTCAGCGCCTTACGGCCGTAAGCACGCGCGTTCTTAACCCTTGTTTGGATTTCACTTTCCATTGATTTATTTCAAATTGTGATTGACTTAATCACCGAAAACTTACGGATCAACCTGTTGTGAAAAAGCAACGTGACGCACGCTTTCAACAAAATATTCACGAATGTAAGTAATTGCTTATCTGTTAGGTGTTTAGATAAAACGAGTTTAACAATGAAGAGTGTCTTCAATGTCCTTCGAGGGGCAAGTTAACTTTTTTACATTTTCACTAGGTTGTATCCTAAACTCGTCGTCCTTCTTCTTGCGTCGTTTTCTAAAGAATTCTCGGAAGCTACGGGGCAATGTGGTCTTGTCAACAGAACCGAGCACGGACTTGACAAAGTCTGTGGCTACGAGTTTACCGCTCAATATGACTACAAACACCATTTCACTAGCGCCTCGCGAGCCGTACCGACCCTGATACGTCTCCTTAAGAATTGTTCTGCAACGGTGAATACTATGATCTGTTCTCTGTTCGTACCAAGATGTGAGGAGGATATACCTGGACCATATTTACCCTGTAGGGCTGTCTGTTACGACTACGCAACGAGATGCCGAGACGTTATCGCAGAGAAAGGACTGCAATGGACAGTCGCCATGTGCGACATATTACCTGAGCGAGATGACCCAAATACCAAACTAGGATACAGAGGAAGATGTTTTACACCGCCGAATTTCAAAGACAGCGGCAAAAGTAAGCGAATTATCTTAATGGTCTTTTAAAGAAGGCAAACTGTTACTATAAAATTCATAGAGCATGGCACATCTTTTTCATAGAAACACTTTAAAGTGTTGCATCATACTTTGGTAAGAAGGAAAATTACGATTACTATTGAAAAGAAAGAAGAAACAAACGATGTGTCACTCCTTCTATAAAAAGTCGTTTTAAATGTTATTTTTCAATAATATTTCGTGATCAAATAATCCCTCACACACTAATATTTTTCGTATCGCCAAACTTGTTGTGTGTATTTGCCATCGCTGCGGAGGCAGTCACTTAACTGTAGAACATCGTATAAAAACGAGCTATTTTATTTATTGTGAAACCAATTGCGATTGGCCGACGACACTCAACTTTTAACGCTTAAAAAAAGGGATAAATCGTCAACTTAACAACAGCTGTTACACTGAAAAGGAAGCATATGTCTCCTTGCTTAGGTATTGTCGAAAAATGACGACTTTAATTATGCATGGTGTCTATGTGTTTACATCATTATAGAATGTCAAGGCTATTTTGGCGCCAAAATTTCTCGACAGCTCTCCAAACATGTCACTAACCATGACAACCTGTATGTAGATAGCGGCATTTGAGGAATCTCTACATCAAGTGCAATTATTTTCTTTCAGCCATACACGAGTTTCTAATGTAAGAGTTAACTTAAGTGCTCTTTCATTCATCATGTCCCTGTATGTCTGGTTTAAATACTGTTCTTGAAAGTGCACAGCTTGTTGCTATTTTTTCTGATTGATGTCCGGTTCTACGTGTTTGTAGAGGTAATAACATGATCTCGAGGCCAATTTGGTGTTAATGAGGGGGGCATGGGGATTTTCGGTTTTTGCGGTTTTGGCTATTTTTTAGATCGGTTTTCGGTTTTTGTGCCAAAAAAATTCGGTTTTTTTGGTTTTGGTTTTCATTGCGGTTTGCGGATTTTCCGTATTTTAGCATTTGGTTTTCGGTTTTCGTGAAAAATATGATTCGATATTTCGATTTTTGACCTATTTGGGTTCCTGTTTCTCTTCGATCTGAGCGGCAATTACGCGCCCCCACTGATCTCGAACAGCAGCTAAACGCAAATGTTATCGAGAGGAATGTGTGACAAACCAATTGAAATATCGTAGGGATCCCTAGGTAGCCTACGTGTAGCCGTACCCTCCCCCTCCCCGAAGGTGGAGGAGGGGAGGGGAGGGTACGGCTACACGTAGGGTAAGGCTAAGCACGGAACATTGCCAGATTTTCTTTATGAATGCCATCTCGAAGTTGGTGACCAAGTTACAGGTCACACGTGACTAATTGATTCAACATTCCAATAGAATCTCCAAACTTTCAGGTCCTAGTTCGCGAATGGAAATGTTAGATTAGGGATTTTCGATAAAACGTTCCAGAGCTATAGCTTTTTGCGACTGCAAAATTGCAATCCTGTCGAGGACTTTTGTGTGAATTTCCTTAATTTAATTAGGCGCCATTACCAGCTGCTGAGTCCGCAGAGACCACGCTCGAGGTCCTCGAAGGAGCAGCCGTTAATTTAAGCAGATACTGGAAGATACGAATGCCAAGTCCATGGCAGTCATAAATCCTGTAATGAAATAAGTGTAGTTTACTCCATATGCTCCACTTGACACCACTGTATCGATCAAGGTTTTAATAACTGGGATGTGAACATGTATCGGTTTTGACAGTTCTACATGCGGTTTTCGGTTTTGATCGAATTTTTTTCGGTTTTACGGTTTTATAAGATTTTTTCTACGGTTTTGCGGTTTCTAATCGGCCTCAATACCCCCTCGTTGATAAATACGAGTAAATTTTTCAAAGACAATAAAGTTGCCTTTGAAAAACTTGCAAGTGCTTATCACACCAAATTGCAAGAGGATCCTGTTCTTACTTTTTAACGATTTACATGAAAAAGTATCTCAGAAAGGTAAAACAGACGAAATTTTGATAACGTGGGCGCGCTATTTGTAATTTGCACTCGTGTTACAACTGTGCACTCGTGTGCCATGAGAATACACTAGTTTTCAGCCAATCAGAAGCGGGTAAATTTTTCTCGTACATTACTCTACTGATTAACCAAGGGTATCAGGGTACTCAAGCGTCCAAAACAATTAAAACAATGGTTTAATTCTGACTTAAAACCAATGTAAACTTTCGGAGGAAAATGAGTGAGCCCCAAAATGACGTACTCTAAGTGAAAGATTGAATTCTACAGCCATAAAAATGGGGAGTTACTACGTCACGGGCGACGGGCCGGGGAAGAAAAAATGTACGAAATACAAGTGGTCAGCGGTCAAATAGCTTTAATAGCGCATGTAGAAACAATTCATTTGTAGTTCCAGTCAATAATCGTGTTATAAATCCCAAAATGTTAACACTATACTTTGCTAAATAAAAAGTTTAGCAAATATTTCAAAAGTGTTGACTGTACATCTATTTTTAACCGTTTTTAACAATGGGTGGATGCAAACTTATTTAAGACTCAATAAAATATAAAAATTAAAAACTACATTTTTGTAGGGTTGTTGAGCTTTTTATTTTTCCGGAAAAAACAGTCGAGATTGCAAAATTCAAGTAAAAAGGCAAGCCAACTATGATTAAGCCTTGCACAACCGGAAGTCAAGATACTTTTTTTTCGTCACATTAGTTAAAAAACCTAAATATCACTCTTCCTGATGCCTTTTCCAGAGTCATAGATGCTTTTCCCGATGCCTCCGTTGATTAATATAGCAGTAAAAAATATTGTTACAGTCAAAGCTTTTGGAAAATTTCTTGACTTTAATTAGCGAAGTATAAGTAGAACTTGGTACCATTTCGGCTCCACAACACGATTGTTTTCTGCAACCACAAATGGTCTGTCACCATGTAAAGTATAGAAGTTGTTTTACTGCTGACCACTCACATTTCGGACTATTTTTCTTTCCCGGCACGTCGCCCGTGATGTAGTAATTCTTGAAATGTGACTCTACTCTCTCTAAGTTAATACAAATTTTCTTATTGATTTTTATTTTTGTTCGTTTGTTTTTTATTTCTTACCAGGGTATTGTTCCTTGCGTAGTAAGCGTATCTTTAAGTTTTAAAAAATCTTTGTTTCTCTCAAACTGGGACTGAATTATTTTAAAAAGTTCAAACTAAACGTGGAAATTACGATTAAAAATAGGAATTTATGTTCTGTTCAAAGGGGATACCGGGTGGAGAAGGAGTGTTAGCCCTTTAACTCCCAAGATCTGATCAGTAATTCTCCTTACTGTCTGTCATACAGTTCCTGTGATGTTAGTCTGGAGAATTTGGTACTGGAACAACTTATAATCCGCTAACTGATATTTTTCGTAATTCTCATCACTTGTCTGCTTGATGTTGTATCGATATTGTAAAGAGAAATTCTGTCTTGGTCACTCATGGGAGTTAAAGGGTTAAGTGAGCGCCTAAAAGTTCCATGACGACCGAGCTTTCACATTCATGCAAGAGCCTGGAACAGGCCATAACCAAATTGTTTACTGATTATATTTTTTCTCCCTTTTTTTCATTCGTTATTTGTTTAGCGTACAAACACAACTGCTCAGATATAGTTGTCCCTGCTTGCAAAGGAATACCGGGCTACACTCAAACAGTAGTTTCAGAAGCGATACAACGACGATACCAGAGGTACATCGATGGCACCATCGGCCTGAGAACCAACGGCACCTGTTACGAGAAACGGAAAGAAATCGTGTGCGCTGAGAATTTGCCGGGATGTATCGATGGCTCGGCTGCCTTCCTCTGCAGAGACACTTGTGAAAAGTTCTTTAATACGTGCAAATCACCATTCTTTTATGAGAAAGATATGTGTATGGAATTTCCGAGCAGAGAATCCACTCCTAAGTCTGCATCGGTATGCAAACAGACCCACTGGCCTCGTGCAGAGAATTGGAATTTTTCTGCAACACCGACCGGTATGAATATAATATAAATCTTACTTGTTACTTTAGATGCATTCCAGCAGTCGGGACTCCTACAAATTCAAATTCTTGAATTAAAAAACTTTAATCATTTACCTTCACAGGTCAACCTGTAACAGCCTCTACTGAAGGTGTAATGACATCCTTTTCTCGAAGTCCGACTACATCCAGTTCACGTGGACTCGAAGGAATTACAAAACATACAGGTGCTGAATAAGAATTACGACAAAAGTAACTGACCCGGGGTTATATGGTAAAAAGTCTGCTCTTGGACCAAGTGCCCTCTCCAGCATGAGTTTTTCCCATTTATACACCTGGGTGAAAAGAAGCACTGAAAGTGTAAAGTGTCGTGCCCAAAAACAAAACATAGTGACACAACCAGGCTTATGATTATCACCCCCTTGCAACAAATGATTTTCCCTTTCAGATCAATCCTCATCCGTTTCTACTAGAGGTACAAAAATTTTTGTCCCTACAAAAATTTTCGCCCATTCTCAAGGGACAGTTATCCTCAGTTCACCTCAACCCAAAGGGACCACAAAACACACAGGTACTGAATGAGGGGATAATACGTAATTGAATCGAGGTTAGATACAGTCGGCTTATGACTAATTAAGCCCTGTTCAAACGGTCCTGATAGTTGATAAAATCACGCGATGAGATTGTAAACAGATATGGCGCGCTCTGAGGTCGGCAATTTCGGTGGCATTTGGGATTTTAGGCAAGAATCTGCGAGTTAAAGATACTCAAGACTACCAGAAGATGATGAGAATGAACTACGTGATATTCTGCGACATTTTGACAGCTAGTGTAGTCGTTTTACCATTTGCCATTTCGGTTTAAGCTCGTTTTCGGCAAAACTGTTGACCGAAAAACTATCATTCATTATGATCCGCTCGTTCAAAAGGCCGCAAAAACTATTATCAACTATTATGTCGAATTTGAACATGTCCAAACTACATAATAGTTGACGATAGTTGATGATAGTGCATGACAAATCGTGTTCAAACACGCACGATAGTTCAACGGCTATCATCAATTATCATGACTGGGCTTAACGATTGGCCTGGCTCACTAGTACTGGTACCAACCCCGGACAAGTCATGGTGTTACGGTATTGGGCAAGACACTTTTCTCCCTTGCCTCTTAAATCTTACTGACTGACTTTAGGGGAGTCACCTACATTGGTCAGCGTTGATGAACATATATGTTTCCGGGGGATAGGAAGAGAGAAGCAGAATCTCCCCAACAACTCATATAGCGGATTGCTTTTTATGGAGATTTGAGCGAATCTCTCTTGACAACTAGTCACGGTGTTGTAAAATCTTATGATTAACCTCCGTGTGCGTCCCCGACGTTAAACCGCGTCGTGTTATGTCAGGTTTGCCAATCACAGTGGCTTAAAATCTCTCGATTCTATGCAGCTGGAGAAGTAATTATTCGATCCCGAAATTGGGTCAAACTGGTACACGACTAAAATGCCCACCGCCCTCTGATTGGAGGTTCTTCTTGCCTATCTTTAAGTCTTACGAGATTCCAAATTGCTAATTTCAAAATTTTTTTCTTCTTTTTTTCATCTCCCACTCAGAAAAACAACTTCCCGGGATCCACGCAAGAAAATCAATAAAGGACGAGGACTCTAAAACAAACAAAGTAGCAATTGGGCTTATTGCAACTTTCATTGTGATTCTTGTGATTGCGATAGGAATTGTAGGGGTTTTGTTTTACAGGAAGAAACGAAGAAGTCGTCAATTTGACTATCAGAAACAAATACTCTACTCGGAGGGCAAAGCAGACGAATTTGAAATTTTTACTTGATGTTTCTTAATGTTCTTTATAAAACCTCTTTCATATAGCTGATGGGACTGAAAGCTTTTCTTCTATATGCATGGATCAGTTTTCTTAGCTTCGTACACGTATGTTCAAATGATTTCGTTTTAAAAACGAGGCCAAGAAAGTTTACTTAGATATACCAGGCGTTTACTGAGGGAAGTCAGTAGTACATAAGAACATGGAGGGTCGTAAAAGTTATTTAATGAAAATTGTCGCCATATACAACCGATAGTAGATTTAATTCGCTTTTTAACTCTTTCTCTAACCTGATAAGATAAGGCCCTAACAAGGTTCGAAGCATAACATTATCGTAGGGCCTGTTTACATGGAGGTGGGGGACCCCAGGTAGGTGAGGTAACCCGCCTAGCCGTGGTCGAAAAATAAAACGCGTTTACATGCAGTCTTACAACCCCGGGGTGCTGGGGTGTTGTTGCGCATGCAATTAAGGAGTTTGAGCAGAGGCGTCCCAAGCTCACATCTCGAAAAAGACGAAAGATCAATTCTCGGACACATATGTATTTATGAAAGCGTCACGCGTTGTGTTACGCGGTGTTTGGTTTCGCGAGAAACCGTTGACTTATGTTATATACAGAATAATTTGGGAAACCAAATATGGTCGATTTACAACGCTAAATATTCCGAAATGTGAACATTTTACACTCCTTGTGTGTCCGTTGCGTTTTCTGGTGATTTCTGCCATGAGACGGCTAGGAAATGTACAAAGTTTTAAAACACACGTTTCGCTTTTGAGCTTTTTGCCGTGAACGCGACCCCGGCTAGGCGGGTTACCCCACCTTGACACGTTTACATGGCAAATTGTCACCCCGGCTGGTAGACCGGGTAACCCACCTGGGCGAGTCACCCCACCTATCATGTAAACGCGATCAAAATGAAATAAGAAATCATATGGACAGGCGGGTTACCCCACCTAGTCGGGTTACCTCACCTACCCGGAGTCCCCCACCTCCATGTAAACTGGCCCATAGTCTTTGTAGACTAATGAGGCACATCGCCTTTAAACTTTGGCAAGCTTATTGGGACTGAATCGTTGAAAGTAAATCACTCAAATGACTGGAGAATATTGTAATAGAAACAGGGACCCTGTGAAAACTGTGGGACCGTTTGCATTTATAGATTTATAGGAATTGCATGGGAATTTCGAAAAGCTTCATAAATTCGAACTAAATTGCAACGACTATTCTCTTTTTACGTGAAAAGTAACGTACTCAATTTACCTGGAATGTACAAAGGGGGTAGGTTCTAAAGAATCTGTAGTGCTGCGTCGGTGAGGGGTTTTACAAGATTATACGGTTTTATTAGTTGATAGTGTAAATTGTCCACCGTTGAGTTTCTAGAGCTGATGGTCCGAGCGTTAAGCCTTCGTCAGAGCAAATGTAACTTTAGGTAACCGCCTTCAAATCGCTAGAGTTCGCCGTCTCTACCCTCGGAAACGATTATACCCTAGATTTCTCGAAAATCAAATATGCAAACGGTCACATCATTTGTGTGGGTTCCAGTGGGATAGGGTTTGTTGTTTACCATTAGCAAGAAAAGATTGACTTCTACTCTTGCCATTGGTAAATAAAACGTCTTGTTAAGGGTAAGTTAAACTTACTTTGGTCTCACAGATTCACTTCTCCACGAACACGCACGTTCATTAATTAAGTGAGCCATCATAAACGTAATATTTTACCAATATAAGAAAATGGTGAAATAAATTTAGGAAAAAAACTTTTAAGCCTGCTCTTCAGTTATTTCATTCAAGAGCTCGAAAACATTAACGAACATGTAAATGGTCTGTCCGCGATGTTAAATCTTGAGAATTGTAATTGTCGTCGAAGTGCAATCGATCGGCAGTCTTCTTCCTTATGGACCTCTCACTCTGTGGCCTCTCTTTGAAATTACAGGGGCCGCGCAGAGGGAGGGGCTGGGGGGGGGAGCTTTAGCCCCCTCACTTTTTTGCAAAAATAAAGTAAATTTAACAAAAAATAATTTAACAAAAATAA